AAATAATTCAAGTACTGATCATACACATTTAACCCATCAGAAGAAAAGACATAAAAAAATAAAAAAATTATTAACATCATCTTATATCTTATATTCACCAAATCAAAAAATTATTCACTTATTCCATAATTGTTCGCAATCCTCTTTGAAAACAATATCTTAATCAAAAAGTGAAGGTGAACGACATGATGCTCAGTGTGATACACAAAATTGAAATACCTATTTTATTGTGCTTTTGATTAAGGGGGAAAATGAAGAAAATAACTTTGGCCCTTATTCTTGAGCCACGTGTTTATTCTTCAGCTACATGTGACACGTATATTCTAGCTCAGCTTACCAGAGAAAAATGACCAAAACACCCTTACCTTTCAATTTAAAGACAAATAACAGCCATGTTGAAATTGGCTCTTCTATAATATAGATAGATATAGAAGAAATGAAATTACTAGATACGGGATCCGTGCCAGCACGAGGCCCAATATATGTTAATTTTTTGTCTCAATTTATGTGATATCATGAAACTTGAGAAGTTATCAAAATTTTTGTATGATTTTAAAAATATTTTAAGTTGTTAATTATGATAATTTATACTTTTTACTTAATTTTAAAAATAAAATATATTACTCTCTTTGTTTCAATTTAGGTGGCATATATAGGACTTAAAAAATTGGCCATTTTTTATGTCTTTTAAATGTATTAAATTGTTAATTATTGTAATTTATATTACCCTTTTAACGTAATTTTTAAATAATACATGTCATTTTCCACGTCCCAAAATTATGTGGCATTGATAAATTTTTTGGAGTCAAGAGATTTTTTTTATATGTATTTTTTTTTTTTAAATTGTTAATTATTATGATTTGTAGTACTTTTTATATCAATTTAAAATAATATATGTTTATCATCTAACCCATTTTATGTGGTGCCAATAGAATGTCAAGAGTTAATCGAATTTTTTTTATATAACTTTTAAATACTCAAATCAATTTCAAATAATATATGTTTATCATCTAACCCATATACAAATGTTTAAATTTTAAAAAAAAAGGAATGAGGCAGCCGACATAGAAAAGTGAGCCCATGTGTTGGGCCCACATAGTTCAACAAAACAGTAGTAATTTTTTTTGGGAAAATTTTCAAAACAACAATATTTTAGCATCCAATAAGGTCTCTTGTCAACACTTTCAATATTTATTTAAAATGTAAATATTTTGATTTGTTATAATGCTGATTGTATTTATTTAATTTGAAAGAATACAAACTTTTAATAACAGAATGGAGAGAATCATGGGAGAAAATTTCAAAAAAGGTAAAAATATTTTCCTTAGTTTTTGATCCTTACTTGTTTGAACTTTTTTAAATATAATTTTATCTGAAATGTATTTGGATGAACTTCTTTAAATATGATTTTGTGTATTCGGATGAACTTCTTTAGATATGATTTTGTGTATTCGGATGAACTTCTTTAGATATGATTTTGTGTATTCGGATGAACTTCTTTAGATATGATTTTGTGTATTCGGATGAACTTCTTTAAGTATGATTTTGTGTATTCGGAATTTCGGATGAACTTCTTCTTACAAACTGAGCACAATAAATACTCATTTCAATTGAAATGTTAGACCATACAATTCAAAGTCTGATTGTATATCATTAGGATGTATACGAATTCAAATCTAAATACAAACTAGTTGGTATACAAAGTGATATTCAAAATACAATATGAGCCAAATACAATACAAAATCTATTTTACTAATGCAATTAGTATGAATACTTATCTAATGAATACATAAATAAACTGTATTTTGATTATTCGGAATTGATAATGAATACAAAATTAAATCTATATACAAACTATCTGGTATACAAAGTGATATTGAAAATACAAAATTTGTTTTACTGATGCAAGTAGGATGAATTCATATATAACATAAATAAACTATATTTTGGTTATTTAGAATTGAGAATGAATACAAAATCAAGTATAAATACAAAACTTGATGGCAATACCATTAGGACCAATACGATATCAAATCTAAATACAAACTATTTGGTATACAAAGTGATATTGTAAATACAAAATAAGTAAAATAAAATAAAAGATTTGTTTTACATATGCAATTAGGATGAATACCTAAATAATGAATTCGTAAATAAATTGCATTGTGGTTATTTAGAATTGAGAATGATGGACAATTAAGAACTTCGATCCGACAATTGATTCATCAAGTTCCATGGATTCAAGAAGAGTATTTTTGGAGCCATCCATAGAGCGGCGGCGGAGACCTAGAACCCGATAGGAAAACCACCCGAGCCCAATAAGCAGAGAAGTTGTGGAGCAGGTCTAACTCTTGATTAGACGTAGGAGAGAGCAATCAGATATTATACCCCAATTTTCACGAAGAATTTCTAGATATTGAAATCGTATAAGTCGGAGAAATTTCTTAAACAAGTATTGGAGATAACAATGGTGGAAACAATAGAGAGAGTGGAGAGATTTGGGTAAAAACCTAGAGAGAGAATATTAAAATGTTGGGTCTTTTTTTTTTTTTACTTTTAATTGGTAGTAGAGTCAAACTAGGTAACTGATTTGAGAAATAAATGGATAGTAAATTAATTATATTAGGATACATTATATTTGCTAAAATAATGACATAATGACATTTTTAATAATTATTTTATAATGTAAATGTTTTAGCTAATTATGTTAGGAATGTTGACTACTTTACTAATTTTTCCATTTTTTATAGGACATATGAGTCATTATGTAAATGTTAATTGTTTTTTTGGTCTAATAAAGAAAAGGCACATCCAGTGTTTTAAAAGGCGGGGGCGTGAGGCGGGGCATTTTATATAGTACGGGGCAAGGCATAAGCCCCGAGACACGGGGAGTAAGTCTTATGGATCTACGGGGCGTAGTCTTGTTTATATTCAATTTATAGTTTTATTACTAATAAAATAAGTAAAAGTAAACCTTGTAATGATTTTACAAATATTTTTTTATAAATAACCTATAATATATAGAAATTATATTATGATTTTTATTTGAGACAAGTATCAACAATCAATAATGAAGAAAAAAAGTATTATAATTACTATTTGAGAAATATCATTACACCAATAATAAAAAATACGATTTAACACAAAAAAAGGTTAAAAAATTCAATTAAAAACGTCCAACCTACATATTTTATGCCCAGAATTTACGTTTTTATGCTCGAGGCTTACGCCTCAAATTTTAGAACTTACACCTTATGAATCATACGAGCAGACATATTGACGAAGACATGCGTGCTTATAGACTCTTCTACTATGTAGTAATTATAAGTAATAATAATATTAGTAATTAGTAATTACAAAGGGCAAAGTCAGATAAGTTCTGGGAAACTTCAGCACATGAAATATTAAAATATTGTGAATTTGATATATAGACTTGTTTCTCATTTTAAGAGTCAACTTTCTGCAAATATTATTAACATTACAAATTTTAAGTGGGGTTGGTTAAACTAATTTGGTTTTTTAATGTCAAATAAATTATATAATAAATCGTATTTCTCCATAAATTATATAGATGTATTTGTATATAGTTAATCATTTAATTAAGATTTTATCTAAAATTATCTGTGATTTTTTAAAAATAAATCATCTTTGTGTATTTCATATTTACATTTTTAAGGGAGATACGATATTTATAATATTTTTAAAAGTTTATTTCTTTTTGTAATGATAGATTTATATGTGAGTCACTTTTATGACTGTAAATATATTTGTTACCATATCACATCGTTCCTTACCTAACCAAATTACATCATGATTAGGTGTAATGAATGAATATCTTAATATGTGTTGCAATTAAAAAATTCTCTAAAATTATTTGATTTAGTTTGTACCGTCAACATTAGTCTATTTTTTTTTCAGTCAACATTCGTCATCTAATAAAAATAATTTAAAATTTAATCTAAATTTATATGGACCAAACTCAATAAATATTTACATGAAATGAACCCTTAATAATCAATATATCAGCTAAATTAGGGTTCAAAGTTTATATGAAATTAAAAATGATGAGTGGTATCCAACGTAACCTCCCATGTTTAATTAATCATATAATTGACGTTAATAATTTTTTAAGAGGATCCTTACCAAATTTAAATATATACACACAGTCAATATTCAGATTAGATCATATTAATTTATCATAATTAAGTGATTAAACAAAATACTAAGAATATATAATAATTAAATGATTAAATGAAATAAGAATATGTAAGAATGTATATAATAATACATTATATACATTCATATATTGATTTAGCATAAACAACAGAGATAAGCTATGCCGCTATAATAAAAAACATATTTAGTGGTAATAATTTTCTTTTCGAATTGCTGCAAAATTTTTTTAGAACAAATTGAGTTAAATTCACTATATCTAGAAATGCAAAAGCATTTAACGGTCATTTATACATAGTAAATTAAATATGAATACTCATATTATATTATTACTACTAAATATAATATAATCATAAATACATATGGGGAGCAATTTTTCCTTAAATTATTACAATTTTTTATTTGTTATAACGTTAGGTGATTTTGAATGTGAACAACCAAATAGAGATAAATTATGAGTTGTTAAAAGTCTTGTCCACATACCCTTGCTTTATTAATGCTACAAGTTGGCATTAGATTAGTAAAATATATCTTCTAATTGTTGATACTCTATAGCTTAATGATTATTTTCCGTGGCTAATTTATTAGGAAAATTATATAAATACATAATTTAAGATATTATAAACTTTTAAAAAAAAATTATTAGTTCAAAAAAATACAAAAATACTTCATATTTTGTTTATGATTTATAATTTATTTTCTATCACTTTAAAATTTATTACAAACAATCGTGTCAAATCAAACGATATGACAAGATTACTATATTTAAATTACAAAGGGCAAGTTAGATAAGTTCTAGGAAACTTCAGCATATGAAATATTAAAATATTGTTAACATGTAGTGAATTTGATATATAGACTTGTCTCTCATTTTAAGAGTCAACTTTCTGCAAATATTGCTTCATTTTCAATTTTTCAACAGAAGGAAAGAAGAAGAAGAAGCATCTACCATCTGGAAGGTGAATCGAATCCTTTCCAACAAGGTGAAAGTTCGTTCTCGTAAGTTCTTGAGCTAGTAAGGGCTCATTTGATATATGATTGATTTGAAGTTGAAGTTTTGTTTGAACATTTAATTTGAATTTTTTAGATTACATTTTTTTTATAAGCACGAAAACCCTCCAAGTTGTAAAAATTATCAAATTTTGTAATGTCCATTTCCCCCTTTTTCATATATGTGTTCTATACACGATCAAAGTTTACAAGTTTGAATCTCGAAATTCTAAGATAAGTGATGTGTTATTGTGATTGAGAAACTTGTTCAGTTGGATGTGTTCATTAATATTCATTGTGTCATACTCTTATTATAAACTTAAACTTGGGTGTAATGAATTGTACATAAATGAGTAAAGAGGACGATTTCCATATTCAAATCACCATTCAGCAGTAATACATATTGCAGGTTGATGTGAAATCTAACAAATATTTCTGAAATGTGATATAATCTCAATTGATAATATTTGTGAAACTTGTCTGTATATAGGTAGAGATGGCCGCTACTTACGCTGCACTAACTTCTGTGTTGGGAACCATAGACAAGCTTTTACGGTCCAACTTATTAGTAGGCCTAGAAGAGGTTCATAAGCAACAATTGGAATCACTCGACAAGATGTTTGGCACTCTGCAAGTGTCTCTAATTGGCAAATGTGATGGCGGAGATCCAATTATTACCAAGGATTTGCAAAGAAGAATCAAAGATGTTGCACTTGATGCAGAGGATGAAGTTGAATCACTAATGAAACAACTTATTATTGAGCTGGATGATGATGAACAAGTCCTTGAATGTTGTCGTACGAAGCTTGATAAGGTCTCTCAACAGGCTATACAAGTAACTGATTCTGTGGAAGAGCTGATCATCAAGCAGAAGATAAACAATTGCCCAGAAGCTGGAAGTAGCGCTTCTCCACGATTAGATGCTTCAATCCGTGAGAACGTTATGGAAGGGTACAATGAAGAAAGAGAAAGGATGGTTCAAAGACTTACCAGAGGCTCAGGATCAAATAGACAGGAAGTGGTCTCTGTTGTGGGGATGCCGGGCATAGGTAAGACAACTTTTGCCAAAACTATATTATTCGAAAACTCTATTAAGAGGGTCTTTCGTATTCGTGGTTGGATTACTGTGTCTAACAACTATGATTTAAGAAAGTTGCTCCTAGTCCTCCTTCGTGATGTTATTAGAATGGGAGACGGGAATGATAATACAATGGATATTGGAAAACTAGCTGAGCGCGTACAACAAGGTTTGAAGGGAGAAAAGTATTTGATTGTTGTGGATGACATATGGAGTAAAGATGCTTGGGATAGAATTTCACATTGGTTTCCAGATTGTGGTAACAAAAGTCGAATTTTGTTGACTTCTCGAGACAGGGAGGTTGGTGAGTATGCTGCTACTAATCCTAAAGATGGTTTGGTACTGATGCGTCCTCTGACGCAAGATGAAAGTCGGTGTCTGTTTTACCACAAGGCATTTGGGGAAAATTACAGTATTAGAGGGTCAGATATTGATGAATTTGAGAAGGTTGGAGAAAAAGTTATAACAAATTGCAAAGGATTACCTCTAATGATTACTGCAATTGCTGGTATACTCTGTAGCAAGAGTAAATTGGATGAGTGGATGGAAGTAGCTCAAAGTGTAAGCTCATTAGTAAATGATGATGATTACAAACAATGCTTAAAAGTTGTTGCTTTGAGCTACAATCATCTTCCTTCTCTTATGAAAGCTTGCTTTTTGCATTTCGGAGTTTTCCCAAAAGCCCATGTCATTTCTGTGAAGAAGTTAATTAGATTATGGATTGCAGAAGGACTCGTAAATCTAAAAGGAGTTGAGGAATTCGAACAAGTAGCTGCTCGTGTTTTACATGATTTTATTGGGAAAAGTCTTGTTATTGTTGACAAGAGTAGTTTGAATGGGCAAATTAAGACATGTAGGATTCATGATCTTTTTCATGATTTTTGCTCGAAGGAAGCTGAAAGCGAGAATCTTCTGTATGTTGTTCGTTCAGATTCCACCACTATTTCTCAAGTTCACACAAATTTCCGTCAAGGTTGTAGGTGGATGTCAGTTCCATCAATATATTACTCCAGTCAGTATACTCCTATTAAAATACGCTCTCTTTACGGATATTATAAATATTTTAGCGAAGGACTTTTTCATTTCAAACTACTAAGAGTATTGGACTTGGAGGGAGAGACTGCCTCAACACTCGGTAATATTACTGGAGACCTTGTTTGTTTAAGGTATTTGTCTGTCATGACTCATGACACTTTTGCGATTCTCGCAATTACCAATCTTTGGAATCTACAGACTCTCATTTTAGATAAGAAATCACTTAGCCGTATTTTTCATAAAATTGTAACTTTTCCAAAAGAGATTTGGCAAATGTCACAGTTAAGGCATCTTTATTCAATAGGCATTTCTCTATCTTCTCCTGGAGATAAGGTTCTCGGAAACTTACAGAGTGTTTCTGGTTTGAGTCCTCGTTGTTGTACAAAGGAAATATTTGAAGGGATTAAGAAAGTGAAAAAATTGGCCATTCGCGGATGGAATGGGGAATATCCTACCGATCTTAAATGGATAGATAATCTTAAACATTTGCAAGATCTAGAGTCACTAAGTATTGAAATACAATATTGGAGTACAATAAATGGTACCAGGTTTTTTAGTCTTACAAGTTCAGATTCTTTTCCACAAAAACTCAAGAAGTTGAAACTTAGCCGCACATGTCTACCGTGGGAATACATGTCCATTATCAGCAAGTTGCCCGAACTTGAGGTACTCAAACTGAAGTATGATGCCTTAGTTGGCGACGAGTGGAAAGCAACAGACCAGATTGGGTTGCCGAAGTTGAGGTTCTTGCTCCTTGCTAATCTCAACCTTGAAAAATGGAGAACCACCGCCGGCTCTCATGATCATTTCCCCGGCCTTGAGTGCGTAATTATCACAAATTGCAAATTCTTAAAAGAGATTCCTCAAGGATTTGCTGATAGCAAGAAACTGGAGCTGATTGAGTTACACAAATGTGATCCTTCCTTGGTGGCTTTTGCTGAGAAGATCCAGGAAAAACACGAGGATTTGGGGAGGAACAAACTTAAAGTTACTGCCTTCAATTCAGGTAAATATATTTATCTGTCAACATTCAGTAGTTAGTGTTGCAAACAGGAAAAAAAAACTAACTATGCTTGTTGAATTCTACAGTTTGGTTGAAGTTTGATGATGTTAGATATCCTGAATGATCTATACTGTTTTTCTTTTAGTTGTCATGTTTTCTTCACTTTCAGTTTTTCCTTTTCATTATTTTGATTTGCTAAATTTGATGAACCGAGGTTTGTTCAAAAACAACCTCTCTACTTCCACAAGGTAGTTGAAGGTCTGCATATACTCTACTGAGTTTCGTCATTTCACTTTACAGAGTCGTTGGAGGAATAGCGGAATTTTCTCAAGAAGAAACAGGGGATTTCCAGCTAGTACCAAGCTGCAGCTGATCAATCACATAAGGAGTTGTCTTCCCTCCTTGTATCGCATTGTGGTGTTTGCTTAAATAAAATATTTGTTTTGATTTTTACTTATACAACTTGTTGTTTGGATATGGTTGTTACCTATTGGATCGTATTGTGGTGTTCGTTTAACTAAAATATTTGTTTTTTGATTTTTACTTATACAACTTGTTGTTTGGATATGGTTGTTACCTATTGTATCGTATTGTGGTGTTCGTTTAAATAAAATATTTGTTTTGATTTTTACTTATACAACTTGTTGTTACCTATTGTATCGTATTGTGGTGTTAGTTTAAATATAATATTATTATTTTTAATTTTTACTTGTACAACTTGTTGTTTGGATATGGTTGTTACCTATTGTATCTTATTGTGGTGTTAGTCTAAATATAATATATTTTTTTAAAAAATTACTTGTACGACTTGTTGTTTGGATATGGTTGTTACCTATTCCTATTGTATCTTATTGTGGTGTTAGTTTAATGGTTAATATCTTTGATGATTATTCAACTATCAACTTTTTCACGAAAGTTCACTCAATTTTGATTTTCAATTCAAAAGTCACTCAACTATGAGTTCTTTGCATAGAAAATCACTCAACCTATTTAATTATTTTTTTTCATTAAAATTTGTTGATATGAAATTCTTATTTCTAACAAAAATTGTAAGAACAAAATATATATCTATTTAATGACCCGCTCCACTAAAATAAAAATATTCCACTAAAATAAAAATATTGACCCTTTAAGACAAAACCAGATCATGAGTGAGAATTTAAGGATATCATTTTTTTAGCAGTGATAAAATAGACAAACATGTCACTACTCATGGTTAAAGCAGGAGGATACTATATACCTTACAACATCAGGTCGAGGATATAACTTAGGTAGATATGCAACAGATTCAAAGGATGCTGATGTTTATCTCCTAAAATTCATATTTTTACTTATCAAAAAATAAAAAAGTATCAATAGATTTACTAATAAAAGTTATATACCTATCAAACAATTACTGTTGATGTTTATCTCAAAACCTTGACCACCAGTTTTTGATTCCTCGACAACCTATCAAGTACAAATATGAAATTTAGGTTAATAGCACCAATAAATTAATATATGAAGTGAAAAAGAAAGTGAACTATAAGGCTCGAAACTGGAAAAGAAAGTGAACTCTAAGACTCGAAAGTGAAACCTAGATCATAACTTCAATATTTTTGTAAGACTCCTCTTTGGACTACAACTAAACTATAACATACAAAATCAAACTACGAAAAGTAAAACCCCTAACAAATCTCTACAGAATTGTAGAGAAATATAACAAAAAGTAAAACCCCAAACAAATCTCTACAGAATTGTAGAGAAATATAACAAAAAGTAAAACCCCAAACAAATCACTACAGAATTGTGCAGAAATATAACAAAAGTAAAACCCCTAATAAATCTCTACAAACACTCTACAATCTGAATTACATGCATAACCCAAACAAATCTCTACAAACTCAAACATGCATGACCCAAACAAATCTCTACAAACTCAAGCATGCATGACACAAACAAATCTCTACAAACTCAAACATGGATGAACAAATAGAGAATACATAGATTCAGAAAAAAATTCAGATACACCCAAAAAACTTACAATTGATTGAGGTTTGAGAGCTTACGTTGAAAAGTTTACAGTGGATTGAGTGTTTTTTAAAGTGAATTGACAGCTTGATAGAGGATTGAGAGCTTACCGTGATTCATTGAGTGATTGAGAGCTTCATTGCACTTTGGGGATTGAATGATTTGGGGAATTAGCGATTGAGAGCCTCTTTTCCTCTTTCAAGTAAGGAAATATAAAACTGTAAGTACAGCGATTTGGGGAATTAGCGATTGAGTGTTATTTTGTTCTTTTTTAAAATTAGAGCTTAAATGGCTGGTAGGCCCAAATTAGGCAAGTTATTTTTCTTTCCGTTTGAGTAATAAATATTTAATATTCTAATAGTTTATAATTATTAAGGAAAGGAGAATAATAATTAAATACTAAAATAGATGAGAAAATTTAAATGTAAGGAAAATATAGTAACAATATAGTTGGACAAATTATATTACTTTCATAAATAGATGAGTAAATTAAAGGAAATAATATTTTTGTTGGGTAAATTTTAAAAAATATTAGTGACGGTTCAAACCGTCGTAATTTATCTCCAAACCGCCGCTACTAAAATATTTAATATGGCGTACCCTAAAACGTCGTAGTATTTTGTATTTGTGGCGGGGGGGGGGG